CGGTAACTTTTTGCGAGGCCCCTGTGGGCGAGAGTCCGTCGGCGGTCGCCGACATCGCTGACGCGTACCGACGCCACTGTGAGTTCATATAACAACAATGTAGTTGGATATTTCTTGCTAGATCGAGAGTTAGTCAGATGCTATAGATAACATATGTATGTGACCTTAGCTACAGCGTTAAAAATTAACTTTAGTAAAGGGATTTTTAAGAGTTTTCATTTACAACTATATTGATTGATCTACGCAACTGCCGATAATGAAGAGCTTAAATTAGTATGATGCATCAAAGAAAAATATTAATGTAATATAATGCAATGCAAATATTAATAATGCAAGCTTAAAACAGTTATACATTTTGTGCGAAGTACCATAGTTCCATGTCAACTTGAAGCCATTGCCGGAACTGCCTTCCACACTGCGAAATTTAATCCATATGTTTTCAAGTACTACAATCGGAGCTGTCGGCATATTTTTTCCACATAAAGTTGCTAATATTTTACCACGAATTGTAGTTCGAAGCTCCAAAAAGTCATTATTGCAACGATCTGACTCTGCCATATCCAAGTTTACGAAATTGATTTCAATAAAGTTACCCTTCGAAGCTCGTATATCCCAAACACATTCTACATTTGATGGATAAGTACTAGGATAATAAGGCGACGCTAAAGTGCCACGCAGAGACGTTATAACACCACCACATGACGTCTGTATGGTGGAGTATGAAGCACGGAAGTTTATAAACTGAGCTTGAATAGTCAAATTACTTGATGCGATAACATGTGATGTGTGCTCCTCACAAAAATTGTGTAATAATGTTTTAGAATCGTCATATATCTTCATTTGAAAAGAAAATTAATATTTATCATTTTAAATTAATTTTTTTTAATTTACCTTTAAACTGTGTAAAGGCTTACCATCACATTCTATATGCAAAATATTTAAATTTATTTGTGAACCTATAAAAAAAGATTAATATAATATTAGTATAATATATTATCAGAATACTTTACCTTCTGTTGCTACAATAACCCATTTGCAATATTTCGAAGAAATGGAGCTAAGAACACCACTGGTATCGGTTAACGTGACATGGCATTCCTATGAGTAATTGTAAAAAAATTCTATTAATAAATGCATACATAAATAAACACATTCTTACAAACATCAACATTTGCAAAATAATTACAGAAGCGATTTTACTTCAAATTTACCTCGTAATATGAAAAGGCAAACATTGCAGTACTATTAACATCGGTCTTTACGGTAATACTTATTTGATTTCCTACACTAAACCAAAGATTGTAAAGATCCATTGAAGATACATATTCACTATCACCACAAATTGGTTTTTTTGGTGTCCAAACTCCATTTAATTCTTCACTAATTGTTATGGAAGCACTGGTGCAATTTAATGAGCTCGTCACATTATATCCATTCAATCCATAGAGTATATTTTTACCGTCATCCACTGTTATATACCAAACACATTCGATATTTTTCAGTTGGTCATGAGGGTAGTTGGGTGATGAGATAGTGTTACTGCCTCCATGATAAGTTCCACCACAATCAGCTTTTTTAGTGAAGTATGAAGCTTTAAGAAACTTTTGCTCCCGTCTCTCACTTGTATGAAAATGTATAAATAAACGATTCGCAAATGAAGTAAAAATTAAAGGTTTAATACTTCTTTCGCACTGCTTGTTGAATTCTAAAGCATTGTATGATTCTGATATTATCACATAATCTGAATCACAATGTTTCGATGAACCAAATTGAACTGAGTTGATATTAAGTACAATTTGTCTATCTGATGGGACCTCTATATACCATCTGCAATCGATATCTACACTATATGGAGCATTGGGGGTATCAATGCGCCCGTTATTATCCGTTAAATGACCACCACATCCAACAACTTTGAACTCTGCATGAAATCCTTTTTTACTAAAGGAGCCATCGCTGAAAAATTTTAATATGAGATGGCTGCCACTGTTTGTAATTGTACTTGTGGGTATGGAACATAAATGTTGAGTGGAAAGTACTTCATCATTACGCATATCTACAACTTCTATGTAATCATATGCACAGTCCAATTTCGAACCTTCTACATCCAAATGAGAAAAAAGAAGAGACATTTTACGACCTCCGCGTAACTCCCAAGCACATTTCAAGTCATATGGATAATTTTCTGGAAAATTAGGAGATTCGATGATGCCCTGCAAACTATTAATGATTACGTTGCAATTCGTTACATAATTCAGTACAAATTTAAGTCCATCTCCATCAGCACTATAACGTACATGTACTTTGTTTGATGTTGACTGCAATGTTAACACATCTCCGAAATTTGTGCAGTTTAGCTTGAGTGTGGGACTATTTGTTAAGGGACCATCATAAATTGTTAAACTATTTTGCCTACATAAGGCACTTGGATTATTAGAAGTGAGATTAAGATTTATAACGGAACCGGGTGAAACGGTTATACTCCAACTACACACCACTTCACCAGATATTTCCGCATTATGTGGCGAATGTATGGAACCTGAGAATGAATCTAGTTTGCCTCCGCAACCAGTACTTGTTTGCTGCCAAACAATATTGAACCCTTTATCAGAAATATACCAATCCGATACAAAGCGTATATATAACACATTTGTAAAAGATGGTATTCGGTCTGGTATTTTCACTCCACAATATTGACCAATTAGTGGAGAATTACTAAACATGCCATTCCTAGAAAAAATCGAAAAAAATAAATATATAATTTTTCTTTAATTAAGTTCTTTAATATTTAACAGTAATTAAATTTAACAGATAATTAAATTTTGAACAAAAAAATTTTTTTCCAGCTAAAGTACCCAGTCTGCAACCTGATCTGTTTCTGTATTTCGCAGAAAAATGGATTTAAATCGTTTAGGTAAATATGTAGAACATTACGTTACTGCCACCCGGCGCCTAAACTTAATGCCAATCACACAAATGTTGGTACTCGTCTAATGTGTCAGACTAAGGTATAATCCATGTTTGGAGTGATTTCTATATTATAGACAGCCTGACTAACATATGTGTTACAAAGATTTCTTTTTAAATATCTTTGTTGATTTTATGCAGAAGCCTCACCTTTAAAGAGATACTATATATATTACACTAGTCTCTTTATCGTCAAAATAAAATAGTGGAAAGCATATTTTACCTGCTCTCTATTTTGACAAAGCTTCATGCATGATAAGATCTGTCACAGGAGGCGCTCCTGATATACAAAAAAGTATCGTTTATAACTTAGTGGGATACTAATGCAACTAATTTAAAAAATTTTGTTACTTGCTTATTTTGCTTATCACAGATGGAGTTAAAGTCACAAATTTTTAATAATAATTTCTAATATTTTTTTCAAAGGTCATATAATACCCAGGTTAGAGGTGTGTTATTATTGTGACCTGTTACTCCAAGCGATGAAGAACACAAAAACACTAATGACATATTAAGAATATATATAAAGAATGACATATATAAAGAATGGGTGTTAAAGTACAGAAATGATCGAGAAGAAAAATTTAAGAAATTCAATATCAAGATAATTATGATAATTTTGTACGTAGTGCGTATTTTAAAAGACAACCTTGCGAGATGTAGAGCTGCAGTTTAGAGCATATAAGAAAGACGAACTAAAATATTACAATCCTATACCATCGTCTTTTGTCCTATAAGAGCTTTCGATTATCTCGAACAGTAAACAACCTGATTATAATAAAAGTTAGGTCTCGAAAATGATATAGTGTTTATGCTTCACGTTTAGAGTAAAAGAAACTGGAAAATTAAAATTCTATGAGATTACTATTATCTCTCTGTATTTTCGGATAACATATATACTTTTCACAAATGAATTTACCAACACGTGTACTTGTCAACAGATGGCACACTATAATCATATTTTTGGGCATAATATAGCCACAAAATGTCCAAATGTTAAGTCAAAATGTGACAAACAGAAACATGAAAGGTTTAAACTAATTAATATGTTTTGACTTCTGTTCTTAAACAATGTATATCACTCAAAAACAATGCCTGACAAAAAAATTACCAAATAATGGATTCACGAATTGCTATCTTCAAGTTGCATCAGTGAATATATCACTAATGTACGTTATACATTAGCGTACATTAGTGATATATTTTGAAAATTTATATTTACTTTTGAAAGTATCTTATACGAATTGTCTGAAAGTAATTAACATTTTTAATAGCAAAGTTTTGTTTAAATTTTAAGTAATAATTATTTCACCTTATCTCTAAGAAATCATCATCGCATACAGTCGAAACTTGCTCCAAACCGAATTCCTTAGGCACAAGTTCTATTGTGTGACCGAGTGGCGCCATTATAATCCATACACAATCCAAGTCATTACCGTAAGGCATTGGCCAACCAGGTGACGTAAGTACACCGAACCTTGTACTGAAATTTCCACCACAGTCTAAAATAATGTGAAAAATCAGTGAGATTTAATTAAAAGGTCTTATTTTTATTACATCCAACTTACTTTCCGCACTATCCACTAAAGTATAATTGAAAGATATATACGCCGGAAAGTAGTCAGAAGAATTAGTTAAGCCATTAACAGACTTTATTGTCAATACACTCGTGTGAAACACTTCATTCAAATAAATATTTTGAGAGTAACTGTGGATTAATCGTTATGAAAAAACATGATTTTATAGAAACATAGATTACAAATCATAGTTCCTACCTAGCCAGAAGCTTTTCGTCTTTGGTATCAGGTAGTTTTGAATGCAAGGAAAGACTGAAGTTATTGGCATTTTGTGGTGGTGTGTAGGTTAGAGTCAAAGATATGTGTTTATTTTCTGGTGCTTCAATAATCCATTCACAATAAGAGACGTCACTGAGCTTCTCGTTGCTTTCGTAACTGTTACGTGATTCCGTGAAAATTCCACCACAACGCACAGTTTCAAAAGAATATTCTATTTTTAATCCTCTCGCCCTACGACTATTTTCTGCCGTTTTGAAAATAATACGCAAGTGATTTTGGCTGGATACCAATGGTTCTGGAGTAGCATTCTTATAAAATCGACGTTTACTTATCTTAGATAGATAAACCTTAAAATGCAAATAAAAATAAACATTCAAAATGTTTTCCTTAAGACTTAAATACGTGTTGGTGAAGTTTCCAACTATTGTTTACATTTTTTACAAACCTCAACAAAATTAAGATTTTCATCAACATCACTGTCGTTAAGTTGCTTCAATTTCACATTGTGGCCATCTTCATCCAGAAGCGTTGGCACACTTTCAGATATTTGAAAATCTGCAAACTTAATATGGATCACACTCCCCAATGGACCATAAATGTCATATGTACAAGTCATATGATCAAAATAGGGGTTAGGATAATTGGGTGTCATAAAAATTCCATCATCAGGACCGAAAAATTTGTCCTCACAAACTTAAAAAAGACATTTGTACTCATAAGTTCTATTTACGCTATATATAACGCACTTACTCCGACTATATCTTGCTTCAAAAGACAATGTGTCAATTTTTAAGCCTACAACCGCGTACTCATACCGTATAAGCAAGTAATTTCCCTCCGATATAATCGGACTCACTGACTTGAAATCACCACATATTCGTTTCTCCAATGGATATTCGTCAGTTTTTCCATTAAAAATCTAAGAATTTATACATGTC